CCTCATCAAATACTCTCTTATCCATTCTAGCATAATGATTATAAGTTTCTCTCTTGCATCCAAATTGTTTGAATTGAAAGACTCACAAACATTGTTAAGCACCATATCACATTTAGGAATTTCAGAGAAATATGACTTAGACCACTCAGAGGGTGGATTATCATGGAACCATTCCTAGGGAGATTCACTTAATTCTTTCATTTCCATCATCCTCAATTTGAATTCTGACATGCGTCATATTTACGTGCATTTTATAGTGATTTCCGTGTCCATTTCGTCGTAGTTTAATATATAATTAGTTATTATGTAATTAATTATTATATAATTAATTATGTATTTAATTATATTATTAAGCTATGATGAGGTGTTTTAATTGAGTTTTGACAGGAAATAAAGTCGAATTAATTTGTGGAGTCGAAAACGGCATGAACCGGACAAGACGAGATAGATTGGAACGTAGCCCACTACTTGAAGATTGGAATAAAAGGCTGGAATTGGGCCGCATTTACTAGTTATAAAATGAGAAAAGGCCCAAAAGATTAAATGATATTTTTAGCCCAAAGCTAATTAAATAAGGGGCTGTTGTGTAATTTTCATTGCAAGAGAATTGAACTTCTCGTTCTTCATCTTCTCCCCACGCCATATCCGCCATTTTTGCAGCAGCTGCACTTCCTTACCTTGCCACCTCGCCGCTGCACATACGCCGGAGCTCGCTGAACGTTGCTGCCATCATGTCACCGGAGAAGAAGCTTGAATTTATTGTCCGCGCCGGAGAAGAAGCTGTGCCGTCGGAATTTGACCGGAGCTCACATGGCAGGCCACCGTGACGTCTTCTGAGCACATTTACTCCACGTACGACTACCAAGAGATTCCTGAGAATCCGTAGAACATGCCAGGATCCGACAACAGCCCCGAAATTGAAGTTCCAAACTCACACGGGTCGTGTGACTTTCGACACGACTCGTGTCGTTCCGACGGGTTGCGTAACTTGCTCTCGACTTTTTCACACGACTCGTGTGGCTGTTGACACGAGTCGTGTGACCCTGGGCGCAGCAAAATCCGGTTTTACGCGTTTTTCCTATTTTTTTGGTATCTTCGACCTATTTCGACTAGGATTTGACCTCAACTATATAAGTAACACTTGGACACGTTTTTAGAGGGTCTAGAACCTAATTTTCAGATCTTTGGAGAGCTTTGAACGCTAGAAACACGAGCAAGACGAGGGAGAAAGCCAGGAAGAAAGGATCGACGGAGCCGAATAAGCTTTTTCTTTCTTTTTCTTTTCTTCTTTCGAACTCAATGTTTTATATTTATTTTGAAAGCATGTTTCTAAATTAATTTATCTTAGATTCTAGGATTTGTTAGTACTCGGATTGATTTATGATTTAGTTTTTATTTATTTCATTCCGGTTTATCTTTCGTTTATGAATTTCTTTTGCCTATATTTATTGTGTGAGTAGATGGCCTATGAATGCATATTTGTGATCGATTTGAGACCGAGAGGAGATAATTGATTGCTAGAATTGGGAAATTCATAACGTAAGAGAATTAACAGACCGAGAGGTTGATAGGACCTTGCGAGAGAACGAAAATCCTAGGAACTTATGGGAGTTAGTTGTTCATCATCTTGAGACCGAGAGGAGATAGATAACAATTAATATCTACGATTTGCTTGTTCGAGAGAAAGGTTGAAATCAATTTAGCGATTATCTCTACGATTGGTAAACTTAAATAAGGTTTGTATGAATATAAACGTTTCATAAATTAATTTCGAGGAACGCTTAACCTAGAATCTATCTTTTATATCTTGATTTATTTTTATTTCTTTAGGTAAATTAGTTTTTAGTTTAATTTCATAGTTTAGAATCATCATCTCATTCGTTAGTCTAAATAATATTTAATCGTTATTATTTTAGTACTTAATTAATTTAACTACAATCTCTGTGGAATACAACCTTGCTCGCCACTACCTATAGCTACGTCGTACACTTACGGATAGCAAAAATAATTAGCGAACAAATTTCCCTTCTATTGTTACTTGAGCTGCCCTCCATAGGGCAGTCTTAAAACTAAGACCCCTGAAACCAACATTTTTGAAATTGCCATGGAGGTGTCTAACACAGAATCTATGGAGGCTGGATGGGAAAACTTCTTTAAAAGCTTGAATAAAACCCTTCTGTTTGTCACTCATGAATGTCATCTCATCTTCTTTTTCAATCTCAAGGTCTGACCTTAGTATAGTTAGAAACCACGACCAAGTCTCCCTTGTTTCTCCTCTCACTATGGCATATGCTAGGGGGTAAAGATTGTTGTTGGGGGTCAAAT